ATATTTATATGTATCCCAACAACAAAAAACAACATTATAAAAACACTTTATAAAAACAAAAAGGTTTACTTTTTGTACATACATTTTGCGCTTCTGAGGGTTTGTGAAGGCAAGTCTGTGTTTTGCATGGTCCAACATTGTGTCACAAACCTAAAAAAAACAACAACGCACCAGTCAGCACTATATTATTTTAAAATATAAAAACTATTTATTTTCTAAAAACGTGTTTATCTAAGAGCAACTATGCAAATTAACATCTAGAAAAAAAAGTACACTATATTATTTTCCATATGAATACCAGATTGTTCATTCTTCTTTTCCTATCCTAAAAATGAGTAATAAAAGCAAGACTGGTTTGTGCTGATATCGTATCGGGTCAATATCATTATCGGACAGTTCTCAAAGCTGCAATATCTTCATTGTCAATTGGAAAAGAAAAAAAACCCCTGAATATTAGAACTGTAACTATACAGTCATATGTTTACATTTCTGTTTTTTATCACAATGTTTTTTTTAATCACCTTATCAAGGCTGCACTTTAAAAAATTAAATTGTCTAGAGCTGTTCCTAATGAAATCTCTTTTTCTATACACTTGTGTATACAAAATTACAAAATAAACCTGTCTACATCAAAGTCTAAATGAAAAAGTTGTATCGGGACATGCCTGCTGTTAAGCTACATTTTTTTCTGCTGCTAAAGTTAAAAGTTTTTCTCCTTCACTGTGAATATATCAGTGGATGAGAAACCTTATCTAAATTCAATGGCTCCAGGCAGTGACACTTGTCTGGTATGTCGTTAATACTGTCTCTGAAAAAAGGAAAACAAAAGTGGGATTTTTTTTTCTTTTGCATTAATATTATTGGTTATCTATGAAGAAATTGTGAAACTCTCTAGATTCTGAAAACAAAGACTAGTTAAAGACATCCAGGATACTTACAAAATTTCTCATTAATAATTCCATCAGAACTTTTGAATTATCCATTTCAATTTTGAGTTATTTACTCTTAATGTGCACAAGGCACATGTTCTTATTATAGGACATTCTGTGTTTTCTGGACGTGTTTAGGTTATTGGTGAATCCTTTAAAAATGATTCCCTTTAATTATTTTTGATTTAATCTATTATGTATTATTAGATGCTTAGTCATTTTATTGAATGTGATAATGATCGTAGAATTTTTAGAAATTAAAGTATTAATAGTGGGATTTAACAACATATATCTTTTATAATATGGTGTCCAGTTTCATTTACGAGGCTATTTGAATGTAGACCCGGAAAAAGATAATTTATCCTCACTGACAGATATTCAATTATATCATTATTTGATAAAGCTAATACATGCTGTTACAACTGTTCCCGAGAGAAAAGAGGTCCTGCTGCAGACTTTTTTTCACCAGATTTATCAGATCCGAGTCAGTGGGAGGTACAAGAAAGGTCAAGAGGGCGTACACTAAATGAAAAGAAATAACAAAAGATTAAGAGCACTTTAATAAACACAAATTATTAGATAAGAAAAATTACAACACACAGAATATACAAAATAAATAATAAGACATTGTTATTGATTATTATCTGTATTGTTATTGTATTTTGTAATAAATCTAAATAAAAATCAGGAATTAAACAGTTTAATATATTAAACTGAATGTAAAGTACTGTATTGATATTGCTTGCAAAGTTTTTTATCAATCTCTATAAAAAGTCGCAAGTATTGGAATTTTTATTTGCTTGTCAATGCTGTAATTGTAAGTGTAAAAAAAATGGCTGAGTGGCAAATTTAAATGCTCTAATATTGTAAATATAAAAGATGGATTTAACTATGGACAACAATTTTAACAGATGGTACTGCACATCAGTGCTGTGATTAAAAGTGTCATGCAGCACGGAGGCTTTAAGCCCCACTGTGATGCAATATGACTGCTGTTTGTTTGGTCACAAGGCAAATTATCCTTGCAAATGATCATGTTCCACAAAAAGGTTTTGGAATTTCTGCAAATATCATTTATCTGAGTAATAATAGTGGAAAAATTTGTGAACCCATAAATTAAGTTAGTGAACAGGTGCTACACCTCTGTTATCATTGCTGTTCAAGTGTGCATCATGTGCGAAAGCCAGCAGCAAGCCACAGGGGTCGGGGCTGGAGGGTTTATTTCTCATCAGGAGCAGATTAAAAATGAAAAGCAGATGTTTCTAATAAAATGAAAAAATACTCCCCAGCTCAAGCTATATGGGAATAAAACACAAATAAATATATAAATACATTCCGTGATATTATTTCTGAAATAACCTGAAATTAATGGTATCAAGAGAGCTTAAGTGCTGCAGGACATGAAAAACAGACAACAAAGAGAGAGAAAAGTTTTTGCCATTTACTGTTCTCTTGTTCGGATACAAATGGCATTTTAATAGCTTGCAGGATGTTTAAAATATGAAGTGATTCACTGTCAGAAAATCCTCATTACTTGTTTCATGTACCATGAAATTCTCCTCAGGCTTAGTTCTGTGTTTAGTATGTGCTGCGTTCACTGATGTTCGAGGGAATCTGTGATGCGTTCAACATACAGTACTGTATATTTAGTTGTACTGAGCTTTCTCTGCAAACCCTCATTTTTCTTAAGAAACATGCTTAAGGCCGAACAAACATCTGACATTAATTTGTATTCCACCTGACAGCATTTCTAGTAGAGTATTGTCTTCCCAGAAACCAGAGAACTATAACCACTAGATGTGTGTGACTTTGTATCTGTGCCCAGCTACATCCCTGCCTACTCTTCTCCTGTGGGGAATGTATCTTTAAAACTGAGGGAACAGCAGCTAAACTGAAAACTGCTAAGAGATTTAAAGTTCAGAAAGTAGATTAAAATTTTTCACCTGCAGAGGCTTCATTGGCACTCCAGTTAAATATATGAACATAACTCGCTTTAGTTTTTGGTATTATTGCTTTCCTGTGTTTGGCTAAGGGGAAGAGCACTTCTCTGGATTCTTGCTCTTTTAAAAATGATTTAAGGATTCTTACACTTTTCTATAAAGGTTATCAAACTCATTCAGATATACTGGCCATATGCCTTTTCAGGTAAACCAGTTTCATATTTCATAAACAGCTAATCAGAAAACATATGGCAGCAGCTTGGTGCATTTAGGCGTCTGGTGGGAAAGAAGTTATTTTGGTAATGACCAATCTGGGGCTGTAGAATAGAAGAAAGACTGGGATTAAAGTGACTTAAATACATATGCATATTGAATCCTTAAGAACGAGGGCTAGGGTAGATAAAAACCACACTAGGTGCATCTCCCTTTAAGCTAAGAACGGATTGCAGAAGAAGACTCAGAAGGCAGGTAGGTTTCTGGGAAAGTTTTCAACGAATAAACTAACTAAAAGACAAGTATCTCATACCGCAGATGAGGAGATTGCAGGTTCTGACGGCTTTTTTGGAGGACAATGTCTGTTATGGGAGAATCCCATAACTATAATGAGGATCCCATAATTGTTGTACAGCCAATCTGTGGTGACTTTGTCATGTCATCATGTCAGTATGGACATTCGCCTTGTTGCCTCTATTTCTAAAAGTTCTGAAAGCAATATGAAGCCTCAACCAGTCTGTAGGGCAGTGTTTCCCAACTGGGGGTATGCATACCCCTATTGGTCTGCGAGTGCATTGCAAGAGGTACATGAAAATATTTTATTTATTAGGTAGTAAAATAAAATAGTGCTGGGAAAATAAGACAAGGTTTAATCAACCAAAAGTAAGTTTTCCTTATATGTTTGAGTTCACCTTCAGCTGTGACACACATAAAAAAAACAGGCGGAGTAACAGCCTGGGTGCAGAAAACAGCCTGATATCCGCTGTTTTTCACACTGAGCTATCAGAGCTCATGAAAGCAGCTCAGGTGTCTTGATAAAAACAAAGCAAAACTAATTAGGTCAGTCTGTCTATAGTTTTGTTCTGTATTTTGTTCCCAGTTCATCAAGTTTAAATGAGATTATAAGTTTCTACAATATAAAGAGGAGCCCCAGGTTTATAAATACAAGTTTATGATAGTATTTTATTTTGTATTTATTTTCATTCCTTGCTAACTCCCTGGCATCATATTTATGCTTTTTTTTTTTATTTGAGATGGGAAGAATAAAATGCCTCAGAATTAAATGGACAAATAGACAAGTCAAAAAGGTTGGGAAACACTGCTGTAGAGTGTTCTTAAGATTTGTTTTCATAGTTTTATTCAAACGTCTTATTTTGATTTCTGGAGCCATAAGTCAGAGCACTGGATGGATTTAAGGTATAGAAGTGTTTTAGTTCAAGTGCCAAAGGTGTCTGTAGAAACGCTGCAACACCTGAGTATACAATCCCTACCATTCTAGACAAAACCAGAAAAAAGAAGTAACAAAAGACTACCATCAGCGCGAAAAAAAAAAGACATGTAGCAGGAGTGCACTGTGGTATGAGTTCAGTATTTTCTACATCACATGCTTGTCTTTCCTTCCCTTTTAGAGGTTTCAAGTCACTCAAAATATGACTCAAATGTCAAAATGTTTTGCTTCCACTGTTTACAAAGACCGACCAAATAGAGTTTGAAAAGGATATCTCCGTAAAAAGATCCATGTGGCAATAATGAACGAGGTTTAGATTATTGCTCAGTGAGCAATCATTTACTCAAGCAGAGGTAAACCCTTTTCCTAGAAATGCTGGAAATGAAGGACTTGGCTGCTGGTATAGTGGATTTGTTTATTTAATCACCTGTCATAAGAATTTAGTGGTTGCTACTGAATCCTTAACCACTAATTTGTTATTGTTAACCACGTATCTGGAGGTCTAGTGATGTATTGGCCCTAAGATCTCCAAGAGTGAATCCTCAGGGGAGAAATAGTGAGATTGCAGGCCTTCTAAAAAACACCTTTTATTTTCCACACTGAAATGATTAATAAAAGCCCTTATAGCACTCTGTTAATATGCTAGTGATCCTAGTTCCTCACACCTCTGTTCCTTCATTTCTTCCTCAGGTATTGTATCCCTGATCTCTTTGGTGATTCTCTCCTACGACCGCTACAGCACTCTGACTGTCTACAACAAGCGGGGACCAGACTACCGTAAGCCCCTGCTTGCTGTTGGGGGCTCTTGGCTTTACTCCTTGTTTTGGACGGTACCTCCCCTGCTTGGCTGGAGCAGCTATGGCTTAGAAGGGGCAGGAACGAGCTGCTCCGTCTCCTGGACAGCTAAGACCGCTCAGTCACATGCCTACATCATCTGCCTGTTCATCTTCTGCCTTGCTCTGCCCGTCCTCGTGATGATCTACTGCTACAGCCGCCTGCTCTGGGCAGTGAAACAGGTAGAGTCGCGTCAGGTATGCATGTGTGCCAAATTACAAAAGAACATTTACTTTACATTGTTCTTCCAATTTCTCCAAATACTGTCTGCTCCTAACTCCTTAAAGCAGTCGTGTCTAAGAAATATATCCTCCAGCTTTTGTAGACAAAGTATTTAAAGATCACCTTTGATCTTACGGAATTTAAGCATACTTTCCCACTATTTGATCTGTTAATCTTTTTTTTTTTTTTTGTGGCCTTACAGAAGTTTTCAACTTTGTCATTTTTAGGACTGCATTAAAACTTTTAAAAATAGGGGCTTTTTTGAGCCTGTTAGAGCATTCCTTACCAATGTCAACATAATTTTTTTATTTGTTTCTTCTATTTTGACAAACAGATACTCCCTTCACTGCTCTTTTACCATACATCACAAGAACATCCAGTCCCTGATTGGTTGTTGTGATGTAAAAAGACACAAAAGTAGATATTTTTCACCTCCAGCAACAGTCCCTGTGCTTTCAACACAAGATGAATGTTGCTGTTGTATCACCATAGCATTGCTGCGGTGTTGCAACGCTATCACAATGCTTTATTTACCATAACCAGGCCTTTTGTGTCACTACAAATACGTCTGTTGCATCGCTTTGGATTGCAACACTCCTGAACGCACCTCTACATAGGAATAACACATACATCAATGACTCCAATTGCTGGAAGCACAGTAGTCTATACAATACCAAAATTATTTGTCAGACTTACATTTTTATGTTGCTTTTTTAAACCTATATCCTTCTTTGCTTTGCTTTGATCAGCACATAGCTCAATACGTCTTTTGGATTTTTAAGAGTAGCAAAACTTCACACTTTGTTAAGACTCAGAACAGAAGCACCCAGTATTCGAGGCAAGACGGACAGTGGGACTACGCAGAAGAGTTTATTTAACATAAATGGATCTACAAAAACATTGGCTATGGCGTCTTCTGCTGGAAACTCTAGAGGAGAGAAACACAGGTTAGTGACCACGTAAATCTAATGGAGGAAGATTATGAACGTGAGTCACTAACCTGGTTTACAAATTTAGTCCGTGCCAAGAGAACAAGGTAGGATCCAGCCGGTGGGCTGCCAACAAGATGTGGTGGCCGCCACCCAGATTGTCCCAGGTGTTGCAGCCCTAAATAGATCAGAACAGGAACAGACAGGCTCAAGAGGTCCAGGAGTCCAAAGACAGTTCAGGAAAATTTTCAGATGGGAACAGGCAGGCTTAGTGGTTGAGAGGCAGGGCAGGTCAGGATCAGGAAATAACAACAACACTGCAAAAAATCTAAATCTGGATAAGTCATTTTTTTCTGAAAATAGGTGCATTTGTTCTTGAATTGAGGAGGTAAAAAAGACATTTTGCCAATGGAACAAGGCAATTTACACTTAAAATAAGAAAACGCAATTGCATTGTCTTATTTCAAGTGCATATTATCTAATTATCTTATTTTAAGAATAAAATTACTCATTCCATTGGCAAACTATCTCATTTACCAACTCAAATTCAGAGTGAATGCACTTAATTTAAGAAAATGTTACTTATTTCTAGATCGTTTTTGCAGTGAAGGAACACTAAAAGCACTTTCACCACTGGCTAGAGAGAACAGGAATAATCTCTCCTTGATGACTGGATGCAAGCAGCTTAAATAGAGGCAGGATCAGGTGAATTGAATGAGAGGTAATGAGAAACCGGGTAGAATTGGACAAGTGAATAAAATGAGTAATTCAGCCAGTCATCAGTGCCAAGATCATGACACACTTCATACCAAGGTATTTATAACCCAGAGAAACAAAAAGTCATAGACAATCTGAAATTGAACTATAAGTTGAAAAATGCTTACAGGATTAAATAAAACTGGTTAGATTATTATTATTTAGTAATAATTGTTAGTGTTGCCAAAAATGTGGTAATGGTGGAGAACTAAAAGAAAGTTACTTAAACCTTTTTACATGTCTTTGATGTGTTATGGTGTTTATTTTAGAGATAACAACTTGTAGTAATGCAGACCTGACTGTTCTGTTATTTTCCTTTCTCGCATAATAAAAGATCATTTAATTAGAACCTTGGAAGAGTTACAGTAGGGTTGAAAAAAATCTGTTTTCTGTTAACCTGTCCGAAATACTGGAGGAAAGAGGAAAAACAAAACAAATATCTGAATTGCAAACACTCCAAAATCAGCTTAGAGGCAAGCTTTATGCCCTCATCCATTTTTGTAATGAAATTCCTGCTTCCTAAAGGCAAAACTTTTTGTGAAGAGACTAAGGAGAGTGCTCTGTGCCTCAGTGAACTGGAAACTCACTGCTCAAAATCCCTGTGAGGTTGTAATCCTGTTGGTTATATCCACGGCAGTGGCGGCTGGTGAAAAATATTTTTCGTGGGGCTGATATAGCCTAGTGTATGTCTCCAACTAATCCGGAATAAGAATTCAAATAAACAATTGGACAATACATACAATTTAACAGTAATGATTTAATTTACTATATAATAACAGTAACAGTGATGATTTGGGTCACTGTGACGGGGTTCTTTGGCCTCCAAGAATCCAGTCTCAATCGGGTTACCGGTGTTGGTGATTTATTGAGCTCAAAAACTCAAAACAGGGTGCAAAAGAAACTAAACATACAAGATACTCTGGGCCTCAGCCTCCCTCCAGTTACCAGCAATGTAACAAAGAAACAGAAAACAAAAATTGCAGCTTTTCTTCCCACAGCCCTCATTAAATAGTTTAAGCCCCTCACATCAGGCTCTCTTATTTCTGATTTCTTCTCATTAATCAGTTTTGTCCATATATTACCTCCACAAACAATTGATGTACAAAAACAAATAATTTTTACAACTTAATTCTTTTACACAGATTCATTGACTTATTCAATTACACCAAACTGGGTTTGAACCTAGGAAAGACGCAGCCAGACTGAAGATGACAAGTCCCCGTAGCATAAACACGTACACACAACCCCCCCCCCCCCACCCCCACCCCACACACACACACACACGGCTAACCCCACTGAAATATTAAGTGTGCACCCTCAATACACCAGCAGGTAACCAGGAACAGCTTGTGTGTTTTAAGTTCATGGAGCTACTTGGCTCAGCGCGAGTGTATTGGTCCTCACAAACACAGTATAACAGGAATGTGTGTGTGGCGCGCAAAGTTAGAGAGGTTGTTTTAAGCGACGAGGTGGATTCGTCACAGTCACAATAACCATGACATGAAATGTTCATATCCTACAACAGGGATATTCTTCTGGCAAACGGGTAGATAAATAAGGATCTCACCGAATTTGGTGGAAGCTGCATCTCGGTCGTTACATTCGCCATCTTCCCTCTAATTGTCTGCACCTGCGCTTGGGTTCAGAAGCCTGTTAAAGCGCAGTATTTTCAGCGCCCCAATACCATAAAGTTCCGAGACGCTGATTGGCCATTAAATTCACCTAGCAATAGTACATGATTGACAGATTCTCTGCAAATGTGGGTCAGTCTGATCAGCGCCCCCAGAACAGAGACGGTAGGAGTCTGTCTGTGGAAATCCACAAATTAATGACAGTAGATAGGGAAATGTAGTTTATATAATCTGTTTTGCTTATAGGTACACAGTCTAGAGAGTAAAACTGACATTTATGAGTTAATTTCTAAAAATATATTTTACGTTTCTCTCTTCTTATCAGGGAGGGCGGTGCCCCAGCGCCCCTTATGGGCCGGCCGCCACTGATCCACGAAGAATTAAAAAAAATAAACATATTGCCCCGCAAAATAGGTTTGTGCATTCAAGTAAGCAATGAGTTTTATGTTTGTGTTGGTCTAAAACTCTGGGATACTACTGTATATTAAAAGGTTCACGGGACAGCATTTATTGGCTTGCTTTATTTCCACAATCAAGAGATTTTAAACTATCATCCCTTTAAATATGAAAGTATATAGATAAAAGTGACTCCACTTTTTAAAAAATGTCCCCTTTCATATAAACACTTGTTTCTGCTCTGCACAGACTGTCTTGAGAGCAGAGTGAAAAAGGCTTCCTACCGCTGTTCAACTTATCTAACACATAAAGAAGGGCAGAGAAAAGGACTAATGGAAACTGGCGAATATTATCTTTAATATTATACATATGGTTGCAAATAATGTTAAATTAGGTGGAATTTTCTCACAATAGGTTAAGTGCATGCAGCTACAAGCAGCTGAATAGATTACAGACCTGTATCTTTTGATGCACACCAACAGTGATTGGTTGGAGTTTTATTCAGTTTTAGAGATGAAAATAATCTCTGGTAGATAACTGCAAGCTGTTTAGCTTCCATGGTTTATATCAGTGGGGTTCTGCCATATCTTATTTTTCATTTAACGAAATTTTATGAATTCCTTCAGAATCCATCTTAGGATTGATTTCATTCATATTTTACTTGCTCCTCTTGAAAGTGACGTCTGTAAATACTTTTTTAGACTGTTAGACTGCAGACAATGTACCAGTTTGAGTCCTGATGCTTTTTTTTGTACTTTTTAACGGCTAAAAGCTGCTTAAGATAAATACGTTTTTCCTGAAACAGGTGGTTTGCCAGTTTGAATCCCCATTCTGTCACTGTGTCCTTGGGAAATATGATTTATCAACCTTTCCTGCTCTAAGTGGTCAGAGCGCTCTAGCAGCTGGGGCCACAGGCTTGCAACTCTTAATGTGAATGAATGGTTGGATGACTGTTGTGTAAACTGCTTTGGAGCTGTGGGACATGACAAAGGCACTATGCAAATGAAGGCCATATAATTGTTACTCATCAAAATTCAACAAAAAATATTATTCAGTAGTGTAAATTACTATAATTGTGAATAAGGGTTCAGTTCTTTTGCAGAATACTAGATCTCTGTTTATCATTCACTAACTAACTAATTTTTTTTACTTATCCTGTTATTCTTTGTTCATCTGTTTCAGTCCTCCATATCAAACAGGAATTCACTATCATGGTTAGTCAGACAGGTCCTTTTCTGTGCCTTTTTAGGTGAGGAAGCACTT